TATACACCCTGCTGGCTATGAAAGGAGGACCTACTGGGTGGTTTATGAATCTATACTCTGTATTTCTTTTTTAAAGATCTTAATTTTTCTCTTAATCTGAGTATAGATATTTGACTGGAGTACACAGAGGGTTGAGTAAGATGCATTTAACACAAAGGAAAACTGGGCACCTGGGGGCATGGCTTTTGAAGGGAGAAATCTCTCCCCATTTTTCCTTGTGGGAAAGCATTAAAAATGGGACTCAAGGTCTATGTGACACTATATGAGGGGCCATTTCCTATACAGGTGCACCTCTGTAAGCAACCTACAGTCAAGAGGGCAATGCAAAGAAGCTTGGGAGTAAGCGTTCTCTCATATAAAGCTGAGCTGAGACAGAAGTTACTTTTTATAGGGTTTCTTGTTCCTTCTAGTAGGTGGATGATATTCTTCTTCCTCAAGAGAAGCTGATTAAGTTGGATTCTGTCTATTCCTGGCTTCAGACCTAATCATGACCATTAAAAATATCTATCTTTTCCTTTGCCCAAGAACCCCACTCTGGTCTTGCATTGTAATTGGTGGTACTGGGGGTGTGTTGTGTGTTTTCAATAAGCCATATTTTAGGGAAATAGCAAAAATAGCACATTTACTTTCAATTAAATTTTTATTGCTTTTGAACATACTGACAGCAAATATTTGTTATTTGTCAGCAGTGAGCTATATGCTATATAAAAGGGAATCAGGCATGGATTTTATAGCTAAACAAGCAAGGTATAAATCAGCAAAGGTTAACTAATGAGAGTGATGGGGTAACATTTTCCGTAGGCCGGGTACTGTGCTAAGGACTTCCTATGCATTATCTAGCTGAATCCTCAGAACCATGTGAGCTAAGTATTATCATACCCAGAGAGATTATGAATCTTGCCCCATGTCACACAGCGAGTAAATGGTAGAGCCCAGGATCTAGGTTCAGGTCTGATTCCGAAGCCCTTGTCCTAAACACTGTGCAAATTGCTCTTACACAAATTTAGTACTGAGCATCAGAAGACTCAGTCTTTTCCATGGAGCAAAGCAGCAGGAAAACCCCATGAAGTGTCAGTTAGAAACCAGATTGTGTTAAGAGTCTGTTTATAACTTATAATAGTATTTCATATGTTATTTTAAAAGTATAGTTTCAAGTCTCCTGATTGCCTCAGAGGAAAATACACCTATAGTCTTCTGCCCAAGTTGTGAGGATTGTAATCAATGCTTTGGGAAATGTTTTCATTCTGTCCTTTTTGCTGAAAATAGATTTAGAAAACCACAACAATTCAGTAAGATGGCATGATTAGCAAAGCCCTGAGTTTGGTTGCTATGTATCCCTTTGGTGATTTGGCTTTAAGATTCGTAATTAAAAGGGAGAGGATTATTAGCAAAATCAGTTAGGAGCTTGTTCTTTCGCCATTGGGGAGTACATATTTTCTTCCCCATCTGCTCTTTCACCAGAAGTGGAAATGATGCTGGGTATCTCTTGAGGTACATCTGTAGTTCAGTTTTAGGTTCTGTAAGATAGCATTTCATTAGTTCTGTACAATAAAACCATCATCTCAGTACAAGTTTCCATTACAGAACCAGTGAAGTGAGAATAAAGTTGAGGAAAAGTGGTCTAAATATTTTAGTCAGTGCCTTATCACTGAATTTGTAAGTTTCTAGAGACATATAGTACCTTTATATCTTGATTTCCCCCATGCATATGGTGACATGCTTTGTATGGTAGGTGTTAAGTAAGAATTTTTTTCTCATTACTATTAACCATATCATTGGAGTCCCAATCATTTTCACCAAGCCATCATTTAAAAGAATCACAAAATCGCACCTGTAATCCCAGTACTTTGGGAGGCTGAGGCGGGTGGATCACAAAGTCGGGAGATAGAGACCATCCTGGCTAACACGGTGAAACCTATCTCTACTAAAAATACAAAAAGTTAGCCAAGCATGGTGGCGGGTGCCTGTAGTCCCAGCTACTCGGGAGGCTGAGGCAGGAGAATGACATGAACCCAGGAGGCGGAGCTTGCAGTGAGCCAAGATTGCGCTACTGCACTCCAGCCTGGGTGACAGAGTAAGATTCCGTCTCAGAAAAAAGAAAGAAAGAAAGAAAGAAAGAAAGAAACACAAATATATTAGAGCTGACATATTTAGATCTCTCAGAAGTTCCACTCTTTTTTTTTTTTTTTTTTTTACTAAGATAGACAAATGCAGTATTCAGTTCATTGGTAGATAAAGCACATAGTATTTTCAGAGTAATGTCAGTATCTTATTGGCCTTGATTTAAATAATGACTATATTTTTCTTACTAAGATTTTTACACAAATTCTTTGCAATTAAATAAAACTTAGGAAGGACTAAAATAGGTAGAAATGATCAGGTACCAAAGTATATCCTGATATAGAAAATTGTGATTTAGTGTTCTATTGTTAGAACCAACTGTCTGGAGCCTATATGGCATATACTGATTTATTAACCTGTATATCCTCATTCTGAAGGAAATAGTAACAATAACAACAATTGCTTCTATTTACTGAATATTTACTATGTGTCAGATATTTTAAGTATCTTGCATTGATTATCTCATTTAATTCTCATAAAAATTCTATGAAATAGGTATTATTTTACCTGGGAACAAATGAAGCTCAAAGGTACACAAGGTCAAAATCAGAATTTGAACCTAGTTTTACTAAACTCCAAAGCTCATACCCTATATTATAAAAGAGAAATGACCAGGCATGGTGGCTCATGCCTATAATCCCAGCTACCTGGGAAGCTGAGGGAGGAGAATCGCTTGAACCTAGGAGGCAGAGTTTGCAGTGAACTGAGATCATGCCATTGCACTCCAGACTGGGCCACAGAGTGAGACCCTGTCTCGAAAAAAAAAAGACAGCGATGAACACAAATCCTTATTTATACTCGTATAGCTGAACAGTTGTTTCAAGGAGGCTACTTGACCATTTCCAGCCATTTTAATTGAAGACATATCTTAGGTGATTCTCACTGGTCAATGGAAAGTAGCAATACAAAAGAATATGAGAGATAAGATTAGCAAATCCTGAGTGGAATCCTGCAATATCTGATTATTGCTGCAGAGTGACTAGAGACTCACAAGCCCAGTGGGCACACAGAACTTAAAAGGTTGTCTTTGCTATTCGAGTACTTCATTTCTTTACCTGACCTTGCTGTCCCGCTCCCTCTCAGCCCTCAATTAAGCTGCCATTGATACAGGATTTATAATGTGTCACTGGTCCATTCAGGATACAGTGACAGAGGTGTGGCTGAAAAGCTGGATAATAAAGAATGGGGGCAACTTCCCTTTCTGTTCAAATCGGGGTGGCAACAAAACCATAACTGACCCTTGGTTCAGACCAGCACAGTCCAGCTAGACAAATATTCCAAGCACTGGATTGTGCACTAAATGCCAATGCCCCTTGCAGAAGGGACATTGCCTCTGAGTGACCAAGATGCTCATAGTTTCTTCCCACCATGAGAACATCTAAACCTTGGAAAACGATTGTAGTATTCATTATGTTATTATTTTCCAGAAAAGAATCTGTATTTATTCTTCCTCTAGGCTTCTAAACAATAAGGTAGACTTTACAAATGAGGATTTTTTAGGAATAGTTCCTTGACCATACCAAATTTGAAAATTTGTGCGACATTCGATTACATGAGTTAGGTAGTTTTAAAGTCCTTTCCAGGGATCTTAAATGTTATGAACTTTACTTTGTATAGGTAGGTTTATGCTAATTTGTTTCTTAAATACATAGTGAGACTTCTTTCGTTAGAATTTAACTATTTAAAAGAGGAGTGTTATTTCTTTAGAGTGAAACTCATTCATTCCTATATCACAAATTTGCAAATAAAACTCTGACTTTTAACGATAACAAGCAAAGAAGCCACAGGCATCCAAATTTTATTTTATTTTATTTATTTGTTTGTTTGAGACGGAGTTTCGCTCTTGTTGCCCAGGCTGGAGTACAATGGCGCGATCTCAGCTCACTGCAACCTTAGCCTCCTGGGTTCAAGCAATTCTCCTGTCATAGCCTCCTGAGTAGCTAGGACTACAGGCGCCAGCCACGACACCCAGCTAATTTTTGTATTTTTAGTAGAGAAAGGGTTTTACCATGTTGGCCAGGCTGGTCTTGAACTTCTGACCTCAGGAGATCCGCCCACCTCAGCCTCCCAAAGTGCTGGGTTTACAGGCATGAGCCATGTGCTTGGCCCCAAAATTTAAATTATTAATGTTATTCAACACCAGTAATATCTTAGGTTGTGGTTGCAATTTTATTTTATTTTATTTTTAATTTATTTTAATTAATTAATTTATTTATAGACAGAATGTCACTCTTGTTGCCCAGGTTGGAGTGCAATGGTGCAATCTTGGCTCACCACAACCTCTGCCTCTCGGGTTCAAGCGATTCTCCTGCCTCAGCCTCCTGAGTAGAGTAACTGGGATTACAGGCATGTGCCAGCATGCCCGACTAATTTTGTATTTTTAGTAGAGACTGGGTTTCTCCATTTGGTCAGGCTGGTCTCGAACTCCTGACTTCAGGTGATCCTCCTGCCTCAGCCTCCCAAACTGCTGGAATTACAGGCATGAGCCACTGCAGCTGGCGGATATAATTTTGAAAATTAAAGTCTGTTCAAATGTGTACATGTGCATTTAATTGTGGTTAGCTGCCTATTATTTAACTAATATGATAACACCCCTCAATCCCAACTTACTCAGCATTTAGAATGAATTGATAGAGGTTTTACTCTGAAAAAAGTCAGTCTATTTCCTCAGTTTTCTGGGTTTTGAATAACTGCTAGGCCTTGCCAGATATTCTGGCCTAAAGATAAAGCTGGTGAAAGTCAGGGCTGGGGTTTTCCTACCTGTGTATTTATCAGTCTTCTCCTAAACCATAGTCCACCTTTTGATAGCTCTAATAATTAATTTGGTCTTCCCTGTCTTTCTTCTCCCTTGCCCCTCCCTTCTCCCTGTCTGTTCACAGGTTATCTTGACGAATCAGATTACAACCCATCTGAGTGGAGCCCTGGCTTCTCAGGCAGACCTGGTGTCTCCAACTGATGATTTGTCCCTGTCTGAAGGTAAGGAATCTGTCCTGGAGAGGCTGAAACTTGACACTGACATACAGCCCCACTGCCTTTCCACCTCCTGTTGAGAGCTGGGAGATATGGCTAATAGGCCTTGGCCAGTGAACCCAGCCAGAGCCTGTTGATTTAGGTTTGACCACCTTTCCTGGCATCTGATCTCTTATACTGGGGAGTCTCTTGCCCTGCATCTATAAGTGAGCTCCATTTGGGGGCCAGTCACTCCTCTGTGGGCTATTTCAGGTCCTTAGTATGAGGGCTGATGAATTGTTAAATGACTTTGTTTTTGAGACTGATACTCAAAGATTGGCTTTCCCAGTGGTCCCCTAGCAATTTAGCCTTTTGTTTGTGCTGAGTTCCTTTGGACTAAAAAGCATACATCAGTTTCATGTGCCAGAGATATGACATTCTTGATCAGCTTTACAGAAGATTAAGAAAAAAACCTCCATGCTGGTAAATCTGCAAAATTTTCTCCACCCTCCCCTGCTAGCAAAGGTCAGGCTGGCTATGGTTTCGATGGCAATAAGCTTTACATAGCTGGGGAAATAACACCAGTAAACCAGAGGGTGGTTTCTAGTTTTATTGAAAGTGCTTACTTGACAATTCTGAGTTGTTCTCCTTGTAGTCTAATATCTTTCATGCAGAATGCTATGGGCCTGGGTAGACGTGCAGAGCTCTTCCAGGCCTCTCTGCCCTTTCCACTTTCTGAGAATTGTTCATGATGGACTATAGGAGACTTTTAGACCTAGCAAGGCTGCTGACTGACTGCCCAGATGGTCTTCTGCAGAGCAGCTTTGCGTTATGGTCTTAGAAATTGCAAGAACCACACCTCTGCTTCTTAGTGGTGGCTTAAGGAGTGAAAACTAGTGGCTTATTTATGAAAACGGTACAATGCTTTGTGTACCTTCCTTCTGAGTTCAGGGATACATCATCAGAACCCCCATTAGCGAGGCTGAAGACCTGCATCATGGAGTATTCCTCCCCCTGAAACTTTTGTCATCAAGTCTGCTTAGTACTTCTTTCCGCATATATCGTTCCTTTGTCCCCTCTTTTTTGTAACGTGTGTTGTGGTCAGTTGATTTACTAAACTCCCAGTTGGATTATTGTAGTAACATCCAGATTGGCCTTCCCAGCTCTAGCCTCTACAGTTTACATTCTGCCACTACCAAACTGAACTTCCCCGTCTGGCCTCGTTCTACTCTGTTGCTCTCCTACTCAGAAATCTTAGAGAAGTTTTTTTTGTCTGTTTGTTTCTTTTTTGTTGTTTTTTTGTATGTTTTTTTCTGAGAATGACCTAAAATCAGTAAGCTGATTTTAACATATTTAGGGATTTGGGGTTTGTTAGCTTGAAATCAGCCATGGCGAAAGTATTTATACCATGGAAATCAGCAAATGCTAAAAATCAGGTGGCTTGTTTTTTTATTTCCTCCCTTTGGGTAGACGGGTTTTCAAAACACCCCTGGATAAAGTTAATGATTTTAACCCTTCATAATCTGTCATTTCCTTTCTATTCAAATTTAGTTTCTGCCAGTATCTTAGGTGAAGCTCCTATGCTAAGCGTGCCGCCCTTGGCCTGCCCCTCCCCAGGCCCAGCTCCAGGCCTGTGCAGAGACAGCTCACTTGAGAACAGCGCTTCTCTTTTTCACTTCTGCTGCTTCTCGTCCCACATCCACTCCTTCGAGGCTTATTTAAAGACTGCCTCTTTCACAGAAGCTGCTTGCCTATGGTCTCACTCTCTGTTTTTCCTCTGTGGCCACTCTATCTGCTCAACTATATAAGGAAAATGTCTAGAAAATTAATTTTACTTTTCATGTTTTTCTGCCTAAATTGGCAGATTTTAAAGACACGACCATGTCATATTCTTTTTGTATCCATGTTGTCATCCGGTGACTAGCAAAGTTCTAGACACATACTAGCCAGTAAATAAATGCTGAATGAATATAACAGTAATAACTTCGGAAGAACAGTGACCATAAGAATCATATAAAGCACCTATGAACATTGTTAAAAAATTGTTATAATTATCACACACACATATACACAGATACACACACACACACACACACACACACACACACTTATTCAGCTCTGCGGAGACCAGAATCGAGTAAACTGCTTCCTTATTTGAAAACCAGTAAGTACTTTTCTTTGTGCTGCCTTCCTGGTTTATCTCAAGCAAAAAAGAAGAACAAAAAACATAGAAAAGAAATTGCTTTGGGGCTGCAGTATAACTGCCACAAGACACCCCTGACGTCATGTTCATATCAAAGGAAGAGTTACCAGCTTATCCTCCCAGAAATCCAAGAAAGAATGGAAATAATTGGTTTTTCTAGATTTGTTTTGTATAGCTGAGCAGATAAAGAGGCTATATAAACATATTCCTAAAGTCTATAATGAAGGTTTTTTATTAGTGGATTAAAATGGACAATATCTTAGAACATTTATAGCCATTCAAATATATTACAACGGTTGTTAAGTTCCTATGATTTACGCACACACATGTGCACATGCATGTATAAATTGCTCTGTTTGTTTCAAGCATTCGTTGTATCAGCTATGCCATTGTGTTATTAACTGTGGTGTTGGGCAGTCCCTTTTGATCACTTTGGGTCTCAGTTTCTTCTGTTACATGACAGGTTGGATGAATAGAAGATTGCCGAAGTTTTTTCCAGCTCTAGCATATAAGATCATGAGGTAGGTCTGAAGGTCAGGAGCATTCACCCACTGATGGGATTTAATTCTGACTTGCAGAGTAGGAAGAATGGCTGCGTTGCTCATGTTGCCCTAGATTCAACACAGTCGAGAGGATCTTTAGTAAATCTTAGCACTGATACTTCGGCATACCTGCAGGAGCCTTTCCTCCCTGTATGTTTTCTCTTTCTCACTCTGGGTACACTTCTGGTCTTGTCTGTGTGTCTCTTGCTCTCTCCGCCTCTCTCCACACAAAGTTATACAAAATCAGAAGTGTGTGCTAATCAGTGAAAATGAGAAACACACCGGGATGGGGTGACTTTGTAACTCTGGTCAATTTGCATAAGTTCCGAAAGTTCCATTCTCCCAATAGTTTGTGAATGGGATAGTTTGTGAAAGGCAGGCTGCAAATTGACAAGCACACTGCACATATGAGGAGATATTTTAAGTAAATAGAGAAAATTCAGTTTGCCCTCTCATTCCTTCTCAAGGCACAAAGCTCAGGGGCAGGAGCAATGCCGGGAAAGTCCTTGGCCCTTGAGGTGTACTTCTCCCTTCTTTGGCTCTCCCACCTGGGAGCTGGATAACTGAACAGTGGAATGAAACCTCAATGAAGAGAATTATACCATGATGTCAAGCAGTGAACATGAGTCTACTTAATCCAAGCCAACAACTCAGCCACAAATTTAATAAGAGTTGGTGGGGGTGGGGATACCCAGCAACACAAAAACAAAGAACTCTCAACTTTACAAACACTGGGAGGGCAACAGCTGGTCAGCCGAGATTAAAGGAGCGTGAGAGAGCACCTCCCATCTTCTGACTTCTCCTCCCCCATAGACGTCCCTGCAGCCAGCCAGGGCTCGCTTTTTACAACCCTGTGCAGATGACCTTGTTCCAGCTAAGATAGGAGCTCTTTTGATCTCAGCAGGGGGATGCTCTGGGCCTGCAGCTGGCAGATATTAATAGTCCAGGATCTGTTGGGGTGGAAGAGATCTCTCGGTTGGGCCAGGTCACTTGTATTCCCTCCTCTGCATCAGAGCAGAAGGGACTTCATTTCCCTGAATCAGCCCCTGCTGGGTGCTGCTCCTCTTAGGTCCACTCAGATCATTTGATCGCTGGCTGCTCTTGGCTGCTTGTTCTCACCCCACAACTGTTTTCAAGGGAGCACTGTTTAAACAGTGCACTGTGCACTGCAGCTGAATTCTGTTACAGGACAGGATAGACCTTGTCCCCCCGCCAAATCCCAGTGTTTCTCATGCTCACTGGTTTGAACACACTTCTGATTTTGTATACCTTTGTGTGGAGACAGGCAGAGAGAGCAAGAGGCAAGACCTGAAGTGTACACAGAGCAAGAAAGAGACAGCAATACAGGAAGGGGAGACTGTTGCAGGTATGCCAGAGTACCAATGCTAAGGTTTCTGAAGGTTCTTTTTACTGTGTTTAGGGCAACATCAACAACACAGTCATTCTTCCCACTCTGTAAATCAGAATTAAACCCTATCATTGGGTGAATGTTTCTAATCTTCAGACCCTCCTTATGATCTTAATTGTTAGAGCTGGAAAAGACTGTAGCAATCATCTAGTCATCCAATCTGTCATTCAACAGAAGAGATAGGGACAGAAATAAGGATTTTTTGGTTGTATATTCTACATTGTTCTAGACTAGGTACTTTGAGTCACAGTATTTTCTTCTTCAGATTTCATTTTGTTGACAGAAGTTCAGTCATATAGGTTATTATAGAGTTCCGTGCTTAGTTATTGTGACTGTTCTGTGGCCAAGGGCACGTTTCTTAGCCCTTGCCAATTCTTCCTTATGGTCATTGGAGATACTGAGGATTGTTGGACCTCAATCATAGGTAACATCTCTTTCCCCCAGAGTGATTAATAGAGAAGGGATCTAACAGTCCAAATGGCCTAGGATGCCATATCCTGTTCCAAAGTCACCTGGGATTTGAGCAGGATCGGCTGAGTGCCCACCTACTGTGACACAGTTGGTAGGTGAGATTTGACTGATGGTAACAGTGAGCCCGGTGCAAGATGGAAGCTGTAGACCATTGGCTTGCTTTCTTCTGATGATTTAGCAGAGTAGCAGTTACTTCATTATGGTGACATGGCCCACTTCAGGAGTTCCACATGGCTTTATGGAAAAGAAGACAATATTAGGCTGCCATCTTGGTATTCCCAGCGTCTGGCATGTTGTATCCTGTTTTCTGCATTACTTGTTTTCGATAGATCATAGCACATGAAAACTAAAAAATGTAAAATGTGTGGCTAGGTCAAGGAAAGAACACAAGAGAAACAGCAGT